GTATATATATACCGGATAGGTATCATTTGATGTTTCTCGTGTTCCTAACTAACTTAGTGATACTAAAAAGATATATATCTACAGAATTAGTATCATTGAGGTTTTCTTGTTCGCAACTAATTTAGAAAGTGAATACTAAAATAGTATATATATACAGGATAGGTATCATTTGATGTTTCTCGTGTTCCTAACTAACTTAGTGATACTAAAAAGATATATATCTACAGAATTAGTATCATTGAGGTTTGTCTAGTTCAAATACTCTCTTGTTATCATTTCCCTTTAACTGTTCAGAAATTACTCAGTGAACACCTAATGATTATAAAAAACAAACTATTCACTATGTTGTCAGTTTTAAAAATTTTAACAGTACATTAACAGAAAATAAAAATAAATAACTAATCCTACGCCTTCCGCTTTTTCCCAGCTTCCCCAGTCTGCCAGGATTTTCTGTCTCGCTACACTCACTATCCATTTGTTTCTGCTTGCCATAAGACCACAGTAGCTTGTCATATCTTGAAAGAATAATGTCAATCTCTAAACTGTCCAAAACAGCTGGTATTGTGAGACCTTCAATGAAATATTCAGCAAACGCCGCAACAGAAATTCCACTGTCGTTGTATAAAAAAAGAGTACAAAGTTAAAAAACAGTGACAGAAAAAACATATCATGTCAACTCTAAAGACAAAAAATGAATAAATGAAAAGAACATTGTTCAGTCACATACACATATAATACAGATATATTGTTATTTGTCTAGACGATACTTGTCGACTCTAAAGACAAGAAGAATGCAAAATTCAAAATTCTTCTGAGTAACAAATTAAGTAAAAGAGGATAAACATATCATGAGTCAGATTAATTTATAAAAAAAAAAGTAGTATTATACCTTCAAATGAGAATATTGATCAATGGCTTTGTCGCCGGATCCACCAATATTTTCGGTTTTCATTTTGGGGAACGATTCTGAAGGAATGGACGGACCAGAAGAACAACCTAAATTTTATTTTTTAGTCTGTTGTTCAGAATCCATAGGTGCCTTCCCATTCCTCTTCAAATCAACCCCGATTTCTTAACCCACAACATCTGCATGGTTGATTTATTCACTTAAGCCAACATTGTCTATTGTGTTTGCATTCAAATGGAAAGAAAAAATTGGCCCAAACATACTCGAAACCCTTGATTGTTGATCACCTACATTATCGTTATCGCTATCATTGTCAACATAATTAACATAAGTAGAACGATGCCCCCACCAACAACTAGTACTATGTTTTTACGGCCCATAGAAAACAATTTGAAAAATCAAAAATAAAATCACAGAAACCCCATAATTAATTCGAAAGAAACTGTATTGGAAACAAAAAATAAATGTAAGTGGAATAGAGAAAGAATTGTACCACACAAAAAACAGACTTATCTCGACTAACAATGACAGACCGAAGAAATTGCACACAACTGTTGAACTTCGTCGTTGCTCCACCTAGACAAATCGGGTGGGTTATTTCCGTGGGGCCTATTCCTTTTGAATAACAAATTGGTCTGAACGATTGGACAATTAGTAATGGGCTTGAATAACAAATTGGGCCGAACGATTTGGACAATAATGGAAGAATGGGCTAATAAAAGGGAGGGGGTATGGGCTGTAAATAATTAGAGGAGAATGGATATATGAAGAGTTACTTTGGGTTTGGGTATGAGGCTGTAAATATTTTAGGTTTGATGACCCTTTTATGTAGTTTTTCCTAATTTAAAAGAGTTTAAAAAAATATTATTTAAAAAAAAAGTAATAATGTGACATGTCAGCTAATTAGGCGAAAGAATGATGTTTTTATTGTGTCAGTATATTTTGAGAAAAATAAGAATAATGACGTGATATTATAATCCAAAGAAACAAAAATAATGTTACTAAAAAATTTTCTAAACTTGAGTGACTACTTAAAAAAAGTTTACTCTCACATTGCTTGTCTTCAATGTGCTTCTACAGATATATCAAGAGGTGATTTTAAATATATTCTAAATTAGTTTCACATTTTCTTGTAGCTAAACAAAACAATGAGATTATAAAAATCCTCAGGCTGATTATATATCTAATAGAATTTACTGTAATATATATATATAAAAGAGAACCATAGGCCGCCTATGTGGCGCCACCACAAACTAGAATTCCCTTTTAATTTATTTATTTCCAAAACTAGCCTTCCCTTTTCATGAAAAGTTGCGACTTTTATGAAAAGTTACAACTTTTATGAAGAGTTGTGACTTTTATGAAGAGTTGCGACTTTTATGAAGAGTTGTGACTTTAATGAAGAGTTGTGGCTTTTATGAAAGATTGTGACCTTTCCGATAAGTTAAAATAGAAATTTGTTCACACCACCCTTTGTAGTTTATAAATAGAGGGATTTTCTGTCACTATCATTTGTAGGGTAGTCGAATTCAAATACATTAATTAAGCTTCTTATGATGTTTGTTTAATTCCTCCTATTTCATGGAGCTTAATTTTTACTATAAGTCATAGTGATTCATGTAATTATGACAATTTCTTTTTGTTATTTTGGCGACTTTTTTTAAACTCTGCTAAAAATTTCAGCAAAGATGATTGAAAATTGATCTTCTCTTTTGTCCCTTTCTACCGGTTTCTTCATATAAACAAAGAAAATTGATTTGGATTGCAATGCGGCATTACTACTCTTGCACCTCTCATTCCACAACTCATAACGCTGTTGAAATAGTTGAATTCCTTACGTTTGGTTTTTTAGTAAACAAAACTTTTATTTCTGCCACTATTATTTGTAGTTTATTTTTTGCTATAGGGGAGTCGAATTCAAATACATTAATTAAACTTCTTATGAAGTATATTTCATTCCTCAAAGTTTTCTTCTTCATATTTCATGAAGCTTAATCTTTTAGTGTAAGTCATAGTGATTCATGTATCTATTGCAATTTCTATTTGTTATTTTGGTGACTTTTTTTTAACTCTGTTAAAAATTTCAGTGAGGATAATTGTAAATTTATCTTCTCTTTTGTCCCTTTCTATAGGTTTTTTCATATACTTTTTGGGAAAATCGATGTGGGTTGTGCTATATTTGATAGCACAAACAACAAATATGTGATACTAATACGGAACCAATGATGAAGTTTGTTAAAAGAACCAAACAGATTGCTCTCTTTCTTGCCACATTTAGTATATTATTTTTTATTTTTTTTTCTTAGGTACAAACAATTCGTATGTCATTGCACTCTTCCTATAATATTAGTATAGACACAATTAGTCCACTTCTTTTGTCGCAAGTTAAGAATTTGTCATATTTCTTCGTCTCTTCTTTTTGGGCAAAATAAGAGATCAAATTTTCTTGAAACAAACAAATGTCCAAAATACACTATAACATAAATATTTTTTATCGGCATAAATATGCACATTAACAAAGAGTGTTACAGCCTTTACGGACATTAGTTAATTGTCATTAGATTCAATGTTGCTATAAACTTTAGGGACATTTATAGAGAGTACCAATTGCCTCTGAAAATAAATATTTAGCGACAATTAAGCTATTAATTGCCGTTAAAGATCATTTTTACTGTAGTGATAACTCTTTATTTTGATAAAGTTATTTTGTTTTTTTGATAAAGAAGTAACAACTCTTTCTTTTGGATTATTTCAATTAAATTTGTGAACGGTAAACTTGGATACAGTCCGATAGACTATCTTTTTGAAAAATATGTTAAGCAACATATTATTTCTTCTTGATTGCTAGGAAAGTAAGGTTGTCTTTATTATTATTTGTGGATATTTGTGAGTTCAAGTGCTCACAAAATTATGCTGTGAGATTTTAATATGTTATGTTTCAAAATTTTGGTTTAGAATATCCAGTTGTGAACAATTCCATTCAGATGTCACATACTGCTTGGTTGATAATTGCATTAATTCTTTGTAACTGCATACTATAACCATAACAATAACTATGGTTCAATTCAAAATAAGTTGGGACTGGTGATATGAAACCTAAGCAATAGTAATGACTATTCTAAGACAATGAGGAAAAACATTTATGATACTAACAATTTTAGGGACATTTTAACATATAAGAAAGGAGATGAAGGTCTTCCATTTGAGTTTAGTTAACTATGTTCTTGTATGGATGTGATGTTCAACTTTACTTGGGAGTGTTGTTGTTTGAGGCTTTTTGGTCTCTACTTTAACGTCTGATGTTGTTCTTTATAACTTTTTCGAATTTAGCAAATTTCATTACTTCTTACCAAATATTTCTATGGAGATTTTCTTAGACTTCTTTCTTATACTTAAAATCTCTCTATGACTCATAATTTTTGTATAACAGAAAAACAAAAATTAAAAAATATAGCACTTTAAGATTTCAGAGGAACACTTTGCCTTAAGATAAAATGTTCTTGACAATGTAGTGTATGTATCGGAAATATGAATATTACCGAATGATCATATGTAAGCTTAAAAAAATAGTTCAATCCCGTGCTTTGCACGGGTAGTTTACCTAGTTCTTATTAAACAGTGGTCAACTGGCTATTCTATAATTAAAAAATACCCTGAGTTACAACTTACCACCAGTAGGAGCAGAGCTTTCTAATCTCTAGAAGTTTTACATTAAAACTGCAAACCCAGCAACATTAATCTAAGTACCACCAGAAGGCTCAAAAACTGTGTTCTACCTCTGACCAGAAAAGAGAATCTGTACACTGGGAAACGAAAGGTAACTACAAAACAGAACCAACCAACACCGTACATGGTAAGCAAAGGTTAGCAAACTTGCAGCAAACACACGATGCAGGGTGCAGTAACCTTGAAATTTGACCTCCAACGATCAGTTACTTCATTTGAGTCCACCAAAGAGGAGCTACTCTGGGAATCAGCAGTTGCTCATGCTCTTGGCATCAGAAGTCGCAACATACGCTGCATCTAATAACCAATTTTAATAGCAGTCAACGTTTTTGCTTCTGAGATACAAAACATATTCCTTGCTTTCTAAGTTCCAAGTTCTTCTTCCCATCATCAAGAGCAACAAACACAACCGATAAGCCTTCAAAGACTTCTACGACTGTCCCTCTATGCCTGAAAAAGAAGACAAATTGAAAGGTCAAACTAGCACACATCAAAGAAAGGGTGGTGCAGATTTATATGAATGCTCTTCTATACAATTTGATATTTAAGAACCAGCAAGGGAGTCACGCTAATTAAAAGCCCAAATGAACATTGTAACTAAAGATAATGTGTTCCTTTTCTTTATCCTACTATATCCTTGTGTCCCAATGCAATTCACTTGCTCTACTGATTGCCCTTTTCTCATTGCTATCATGAGTACTAATCCAGAATATCACAGAACTCATTTCCATTAAAGTTGCATAAATTTTAAGTATGCATAGCAATCAGCTTGATGTAACAATAAGCTTACTAGGCATTATCAGATGAATGATGAACTTCCACTCTCTTTCCTTTTGCATCTTTTCCCAACTTCTGCAGTATCCAGTTAGCATACAAGAACTCATCCATTATATTGTCTTCATAAACAGCAGTCCCCAAAATGCCGTTCAATCATTCAATGAAACACTAAGAGTCAAGGGGAATGGTGATAATATTCTTGGAAATACTTTCTTTAAATTGAGTTTAAGAGAGACAAAAAAGTCTAAGTTCTGTGTTTCTCTTGTTCAATTAAATTTTATATTTACTCATTAATTCATTTCAATAACTACTCCCGGATTATTTTTGTTCAAATTCTTCATTTAAGAGAGAAACATAAATCTTCTGAATTGCTCCAAGAAAAAAAAAACTCACATAATCAAATATAATTGATCCGTCCATTTGCCATCTCTTTCCAATTTCCAACAAACAATTCATCTAGTCAATGCAAGACTAACAAGCCAACACATTATGTAATCAGGCTTTAATTCATTTACACACTGATACGTTACAGGTGACCACCTATTCCATATTCTTATTTTAAAGTGCAACCATTACCCCCTTTTCAAGACAATACCAAATTTAGGTAAAAGTGCTATTATACAGGCGTCTCACACATGCATTATATATATGTGGCACAAACAATCACTCCCTCTTTCCTCAAAACAATTACTCCCTCCATCCCAATTTATGTGGCACCGTTGACTTGGCCCAAAGTTTAAGAAAGAAATGAAAACTTTTGAAATTTGTGGCCTACCATTTCTATGGTTATAAATCATTTCATTAAGGTTAAAAAGGAAAATTTTAAAGTTAGATTGTCTCCCATGATAAAAATCGTGACATGCTTTTAGAGACGGACTAAAAAAGAACATGTGTCATATAAATTGGGACGGAGGGAGTATAAATAACTTAACATTTGCATATCCACGAACATTAACTTCCTCCACAATTATCAACAGATTATACTATGCAAAACATTCATAAATGCCGTTTGTATGCCATTGTTTGAATTGATCTGTCATTAGTTACTCAAGATCTTGAAAGGGCCTTGACCCTCCAATGATAACAGTTCTCCTTGCCAATCATTAACCCTTCTAATGAACTCAATTGACATATCTGTGAAGTGGTTCTAATCTTTTTCCTACCAAAATAGGACGAATCCTAAATAGTTTTTTTTAATAAAGGTAACTTTATATTCACATAAAAATTCATCAGCAAAGCCTGATGAGGTGGGATTTACAGCCCCCAGGAGGTAATTTCAAAAGCCAAAAACTGGGGAAAAACTTTACAATTGAAGCTATAAAATCCACTAAACTACCCACCAAATCCTGTTTACACCAAAAGTACAGCTGGCTCAAGCTATTCATCTTGATTTTCTGAATGCTGTTAAGTTTCCCATCATGTGATCTTTCATTTCTTTCCTTCCACAATGTCCACCAAATGCAGGCTGGGATGCATTTCCACCAGTCCTCTTTGGATCTTCTTCTTCTGCCCACTCCTTCCCAGTGTCTCAGCAAGTCTAAAGTAGTCTTGGGAATTACCCAGTTAACTCCAAGTATACATAAGAACATGTCCCACAGATTTATAGATGTTCTGCAGTGTAAGAATAAGTGACTGTTAACTTCTGCCTCTTCCCCACACATGTATCTTGAGAAAATCTGTATACCTCTTCTTTGTAACACTTCATGAGTTAGACGTGCTTTCCTAATTGCCAACCAAGTGAAACCTGAGACCTTGTGAGGAATCTTGATTTTCCAAATTAGTTTCCAAGGCCATTCCATTTCCATAGTCTGATTAGAATTTAAGCTCCAGCAACAAGATTTCACAGAAAAAATCCCTTTCTTGTGCATTTTCCAAATTGGAGTATCAGGACCTTTAGTGACCCCTGGAAATGCATTTAGTGTCTGTAGTAATCCTGCTACTCTATCAACCTCCCAGTCATTTAAAGCCTTCCTAAAGATCAAATCCCAACCTTAAGGGCTCCACACCTATGCCACAGTGTCCATCTGTTGTAGGCTCAATATATAAAGATCTGGGAACATGATCTTCAAATTCTCTTCCCCTAACCAGAGTTCATTCCAGAAACTGGTTTTCACCCCATTACCAATCCTAAAGTATAGATTGGGGATAAAGGATGGCCACAGTCTTTTGATTGTCTTCCAGAGCATCCAAAGTCTTGATATTCCTTCAAACATGGCTAAATAGTTGAAGGGTAGAGGCTTTCAGTCATAATCTAGCACAGGGTAGCTTCGTGCCACTTGCTTTTCAACCAAGCGTGATGACCAATTATGTGAATCGACAGTTCCTCTCGTACTAGATTAAACCTGCCTCCTTGGGACTTAGCCCTAAAAATGAATTCCCAGCTAGCCGATTACCTCGCCCACTGAAGCTTATCCCCCTTAAGCACTCACTTCAACTCATGTCCTGCAGTGGAAGCTGTAGCCTAAGAGCCCTAATTGTACAGGTACAGACCTGAGGCTTCCTCTTTCATATTGATGAAAGCGCTAGGCACCTCTTAAAAGATCCAACTTCCCCCTTGACATAGTTCAAAAAATGTACAGATCTTAAATAATTAAAGGGAACTGTTTTTGTTTAATATCTAAATAGCCGGAGTTACAACCAGTAGGTGCCCAAGATTGCAAAGCTTTCTAATCTCTAGAAAATTAAAATCAAAACTAAAATTCTTAATAAGGCAGAAATGCAGCATAAACAGCAGTACCCAAAATGCCATTCAGTTATTCAAGGAAACAATAAAAGTCAATGGGCAATGATGAGACTATTCTTGGAAACACTTTCCACATTTTAACATAGCAAAATCTGCTGCAAGAACACCACAAAAGGTATATGATACTGTCAATAATAAATTTGTGATATTTAATTCCAGAATAGAAAAGTTTAACCTAATGCACATCCATATTCTCCCCTGTGTTAAGAAATACAATTGCACTTCATGAGAAAGGCACCAAAGCAAGACCAATAAATTAATAATCTTAAAAGCAATATCTAAGGTGAACCTGATGCCATCACATTGGCAGTGCGCCCAGCGCTGGCAAATGTCACAACAGACCATAGGTGTTGATTCAGAATCTCTATATACCTACAGTATAAAAAACAATTAATTGCATTCCCCATAGACACATGGGAAGAAAAACACTCAGTTGCTTTGGAAAGGCAATGAAAGCAAAAGGCATCACGTAAAAATATCCGACAACTTAGCAACTTCGCATTAGTAAACCACCATGGTACAAAGAACCTAATTGTAAGATCAAACAAAGAGATGCTCAGATAATAAAAACCACCATAATATCTACCTTCAAATAAACAGGACAGTAGTTTCCCTTCACAAATAATCTTCCACAGGCATCACAACAAGTGTATCCTAAAAACCACTTGCCATTGATCAAGAAATCAGTAGTTCAGAGGCAATAGGATATACAATGCCCTAAATGATTTTCATAGGATATGCAAAGCCTTAAATAATTTACATAGGATATGCAATGCCTTAAATGATTTCCATACATCACATGCAGCACACAACATTATTTTATGCTATTGCAATAATTTGTATTGGGAATCTCGAAAAGACATTAGTACGGAAAATTCACAGTGCTACAGGCAAGCCAAAAACTAGAGAACTGAGTTAAATTCCTTCCAAAGCCCTTATCAGAATATATAATGTAAACCAAATGGAACTCCTACATGATGCTCCTCTGTAAAGATACAGAAAAAAACAGCAAAGAAAAGTACATGAATAAGCATTTTAATTAAAATGGAGTTAATTAGAGTGTTCAATTAACATTTATAGCAAAACTTGAATCCAAGAGGATATCCCACTAGCAGCTCATGGCCCCATACTACACACCTCACGCTCAGTCCATTTCCTGGAACATTAGAACAACAGCTGTGACAGTTTGTCTTTGGGGCAAAAATAAGGCCCACTGCTAACGTTCTGCACATCCCAAAAACAACTAATTATAATCTACTTTTATCATTATACAAAACTGAAAGAGTAAGATACAGGAATCCACCTTGTGTGGAGGCTGCATACAGTAACAGTGATAAGCTGCATCACACCTTTTGCAAAACATGAACTTTTTTGGATCTCCGGTTCTTCGACAGCCCTACACCAAACAAGGAGCATACATACAGTCGGTATATATGAGCAACATAGTGAGCATAAAAACATGAGTTGAACAATAACATAGACATCAAATAGCCAAAAATGCAATAATCACAAGAGAATGATCCAGAATACATCTCCAATAATGAAACAGAAGAGTTGCTTTCCGCAAAAGTGTTCTTTTTTTAAAAAAAAAAAGAAGAGCAGCCCATAGTTTCATTTATAATCCTACTTGTTAGGGACACTTCCTCACCCGCTTCCTTACACATGAAACACAAACTGACGCAAACAACGTACACCTTCCTCAACACCCTTTGAGATTTATATTGTTGCTATATGGAAAATGTCATCTCCTTCCTAACCAATAGTTTCTCATGAAAGGACTTCACAGAGGACATTCCACTATCTCCAAACCCCACCTCCAAACATTGGAATCAAAGAACATTCCATTGCTTCCAAACCCCACCTCCTAACATCGAAAATATCAACCGGATTGACTTGTCTATGTAGTAAGGCAAGGATTCTGTATATCCTTAAAATTTCTTTTTTCTTTTTCTTCAAAGATGACAATTTCCTTGTATGCAAATCCCCAGCTTCAACTACTGCTGATTTTGAGCTTCTTTTTGCTTCTCTTTCAACTTTATGTATAGTTACTAAAGCAATTTAATATGAAATTGAATGCTGCAAAATAATTCTTGTTATAGTTGATTAATTCTTTTAATAGTTAATTTATTAAGAATCTAAAATCAATGTTGCTATTGACCATTATTTTCACTCTATTTCAGTTTAGGTATTGTGTCTATATATAGTCATTATTGTATAACAGGTACTGAAAAAAAATGTTAATCACTATTTGATTTTATAAGTACTAAATTCATATATTTAGGTAATTTCATATGGTTGATGAATCGTACGCTGCTTATTGCTTTTGATTAAAGCTTTGAAGACCTTATTGCTTTTTTTGCAATTTTCATTTTTTAAAGCACTGATCAAATCTTACCAATATCCCGACCTACAAGGCTATTTCTCTATCCCCCAAGAAACCTCCATAGTTAGATGCAAGTCCTGTGGTGCCAGAGCGGAAGTAGCGAAGGAAGGGATAAAGGCTAAAGGCTGGTTGAGTAGTTGGTTATAACATACTGTTTGATTTGGTTTGGCTACCCATTGGTTAGACGAATTAAACTTCCTCATTCCAAAATATCTGAATTCTCAAAAAAAAAACTACAATTGAAGTCACCAAAGAACACAAGGACAAAAGCACAAAGACCAAAAAAGAAAGCTGGAGAAACAGAAGGGCGGGGGGGATAAAAGAAAATCTAATCTGATTCAGTGACACCTTGCAAACTGACATGACAAACTTTACACCATAAAAAGTGAAACATGGAAAAAACGGAACTATAGTGACTCATTTCACATTAAATGACTTCTTTTAAAATAACTGTGGCACCCTGATTGCACGGATTAATTCCACAAGGTACCTTCCACCAGGTAACTCTGTCTAACAACTCAAGAAATCATCTAGTGTCATTAAATAACTTCTTACAACCAGGGATTGGGGTTTCAACGTGGGTTTATCATTATAAGCTATTATTGCTTGCAGCTAATTTGGCTTTGACATGGCGCTTATCTGAGTTGGGTCCACTTGATCTGGCGGAACGTAGTCTTCCCTGTTTCTTACAGGACAAAAGGTAGTTGAGATGGCAAGTGTATGATTAGTAGCTAATGGGTTTGTGTATAAGTGGGGCCATGGGTCAAATTCTACCTGTTTCGCCATCTCCATTGACTGTCATACACCATACACATATGGACGGATTCATTTAAGAGCATTGCCTTAAAAGCAATATCTTTTCTCAATTGACTGTCCATGCCGACACATAGAGATGTTGAAAAAAACTTCTTTCCATAGTTTTGACATCCACCTTAGTCAGGATCTTTTTTTTAATCAGTGTACCTTGCCCCAAGATTTATGGGTCAAAACTGACATGGGTGATCTCTCATAGGTCTTGGCAGCAGGTTAGGACCGAAAATGCCTAAATATGAAAACCTCCGGTTGTTACATATGGCTAGCAAAGAAAATTAGGGATATCTCTGATTAATTTATTATTTCCATTTTGTTAGGTAATAAAATTCAATGTCTTGTCGAATTAGCTTTGACCTACTTGTTCACAAAAAAGAAAAAGAAAGCAACTCAGCGTACAATTGTCATGTTTTAGGCAGTTATTAAAAAGCAAAACCAACTATGTTTCATTATTTTATTGAAATGAATCAAAAGTTTTACCTCACAAAGCTGGCATGAGGGACATCTCCATGAACTCCAATGGAAGAGATCTATAGGAAGGGGCATATTAGCAAAAGTACAACACTAAAAACTGACAAATCTTGAGGCCAATAAGAGTACCTCTATGTTGACCCCAAGCTTTCAGGCAGCTTCGGTGATACATCTTCCCGCAACTTTTGCATGACATCATTTTCCTTGTTCTTTCACCTCCTTCATTTTCACTGGAAAAGCATAGCCTGCACATCACTTTGACATTCGATAGACCCTGTTCTTCTCCACCAACATCTTTCATAGAGCCCTGAGGGCAGATATTTATTTGTAAATAAAAAGATTGAATACTATCATGTAATAATTTATAATTCCAGCTCCCAGCCTCCACACCCCCAAGAGAAAAAGAAATGAATATCAGTAGAATGAGGGATGAAAAGGGGTTATTACATGTACAGTAACAGTGCACCTTTAGAATACGAAAATTCTGCTGGTGAGTGACAAAATGTATTTGGTTGAATTGGAGGAACAACAAAAGAAACATCCCAACCGTTATTTAGATTTTAAATCCAAATGTTGTTTGGAGCACTAGCAGACCTTTACTTTTACAGGTCACTTGGTTGGCATGCTAGTTATGTGGGGAGGAATTGTTTATATGGTGATTAATAATGATGGGATTGTTAGTGCGATCATTAATAGCGAGAAGATTGTTATACATGAATTACTTACTTTAAAAGGGCATTTTGTCTTGAGCTAGTTTAATCCCCACATTGCGAATATATGTATTCTTCTTCCACATTCTATTCCATATTAAATAATAAATGTTTCATACAACTTAATGCAGGAATTGTTTAGGGAAAAAGAGAAAAAGGGGGAGAGGGATTCATCACCAATATTTGATTGGATCTCTAATGCCGCCAACCAACTTTGTATTAGTTATACTTTGACTAACTTTTTTCATGTGGCCAACCAATTAGTGGTCGTTTGGTAGAGTGCATTAACAAAAATAATACATGCATTAGCTCTGTGTATTAGTAATACCTTGTTTGGTATACTTTTTTATGTTATGTATAACTAATGCTTGTATTAGTTACATACACTCTATTGTGTATTAAGTTGTGTATTACTAATACCATGGATTTCTACGTATTAGTAATGCAAGGGGACTAATGCATGCATTAGCAGGGTTAAAGACTCAACGACACCTCAAAATCCTTTTTACATTTTTTCCACCGTAATTGTGGAGGATATTTTTGTAAATAAATATTTTTATGCAATGCATGCTATTTTTAATAACCAAACCAAACAATCTATGTATAATTAATGCAAGCATAACTAATACAAGTATTACTAATACACTCTATTTAGCATTATTTTTTTACACCCTACCAAACGACCCCTTACTGTACTATGTTTTGCGGGGTTTTATGTTGATATTAATGCTAATTATTGCAATACATCAACCAAAAAAAACTTAGAGCATTATGTTTAAAGTTGTCCACTTCACAGAACATTATCACACTCTCAAGTCATTATAGCCAAATAACTTAAATGTAGCCCAAAAAGTAGAGATTGAAGCGTGTGACTAAAATGCATTTAACTAACAGCCTTCACTAAACGTTTTCGTCTCTCTCAAGGAAAAGGAATTTTCAAAGATGATCTATTACCTGAATTAAGGGTGTGTACATTCTAGGCATTTTTTTTTATAAGTAATAAGAAATTTCAATGTTGGCCTCAAGAAGATGCAGAATAGGTCATGGTATACATATCAGATTTTGGAAGGATAGGTAGCTGGACAATGATGGAGGAATTCCCAAGTCTATTTCAAATAGCATGTGAACCAAATTCTTCCATCTCTCAGAATAGGGAAGACAACACCTGGAATGTTCTATTCAGAAGGAACCTACAAGACCGGGAAATCGAAGAAGTGGTCAAGTTGTTTTTTAGGCTAGAAGGCCAGGTGATAAATGCCAGGGAAGCAGACAAGTTAGGGTGGGGCAGTGACAAGGTAGTATATACTCGGTGAAAGCAGGCTATGCAACTCATATGCTCCTAATGAAGTGCTTGATAACTGGCCAAGGAAGTTGATATGGAAGACTAAGCTCCTAAAAAAGATCAGAAAAAAAGATACACAAATGATTTAGCCTGTTCTGATGTTTTCTCTCAAAAGAGAATGAATTTTCATGGTGCTTCCTATAGGATTGAGAAATTTATGAGTTATTCAGTAGTACAACTCTTCATGAAGCTTGCCTCACTCAAGACAACCTTAAGAAAAGGAATTTTCAGATTGCCAATAGATGTTTCATGTCTGAAAATTCATTTTCTTAAGGTTGTCTTGAGTGAGGCAAGCTTCATGAAGAGTTGTACTACTGAATAACTCATAAATTTCTCAATCCTATAGGAAGCACCATGAAAATTCATTCTCTTTTGAGAGAAAACATCAGAACAGGCTAAATCATTTGTGTATCTTTTTTTCTCCTATAGTGGAATACTATACAAACACTTAAAAGTTTAAAATGTAAATATGGAGTTAACTTATCAAGTACCCTGAAACTATTCATACAAAGCAGAATGTCTATACCTTTTTGTGGACCACATAAACTCTTTTCTCCCTCAACAGAAGAAGCCAGCATTCAAATAAAAAGAAACACAATAGTCATGGCATACAATCCACACGAAATATAAACAGACAAGTGATCTGAAAACAGATCATCTCAGCGACCATCTATGTCATTATCCTGACTACGTTAAATAGGACAACAGAGAAGTCGATTGATTAAACAATCATAATTTTCACATTCCACATACAAAGTCATGCAAACCTACGTTTTTTAGAACTGCGGTTCCTAACCTCCACATCTCCAGACTCAAATTGTCTAGCAAAATCATCAGCCACCATAGATGCTGCAGCAGTTTTCTTCTGCAAAGCAACACGCTTAGTCTTAGCTGAACCAATAGCAGCCGCCTCCTCACCATCCCCGCTGCTTCCGCCACCCCCATCACCTACAGGCGCTTGTGGGGGCAGAGCAACATTAAGCTTGGGCACTTTAACCTGAATTGTGGCAGGTTGTTTGGCCTTAAGACCCCATGGGTCCTTGAGAAACTCCTCAAGTTTAGTCACATCGCTGAAGAACTCATTTTTACCCTTTGGAAACCCATCTGGGCAGAAGCAGATCTTTCGACTGCACCAAAAAATGCCAAAACACTCAATTGGATCAGAAATTCAAAAGAAAACAACAAAACACAAAACCAAGAACCCGATTTCACATCCATCGATAAAGATAGAGATAGATAGCAGATCCTCCAGCTACACCACAAAAACTCCAAAACCCACATCTAAAAACGTTCAATGGGTCATATAAACCCCAGTAAACAACTTAAAACCATAAAACAAAGAACCCCATTTGGATCCTTGGCGGCTTGGCCTAGATAAGAGAGAGTAGAGAGAAAGAGTGATAATAAAAGAGATAAATAAACAAAATTATAAACAAATTTTACAAAAATAAAAGAATGTAGTACCAGGTAAATGGGCATGCTGTGTGAAAGGCCATACGCGAGATAAATTTTTTTGTGTATGAGGAATTCTTCAAGAGCTTAAATTGGGGAAAAGCTCATTTGGGGGAAAAAGAGAGAGAGAGAGAGAGAGAGAAAAGGGGATGGGCGTGACTTCTGAGGTGTATACACAAGTTTGTTTATAAGGTGAAGCAAAATTCACATTTGGCCCATTGAAGTTTTCATAATGTTAATAGAATCCATGATTGTTTGTATAGTAGTGGCAAAAAGTCAAAAAAGGAAAAAAAGGAAAAGGTTTTAAAAAGAAAAGAAGAAAAACTTTCAGAAAAATACTTATGGTCACTGAGAGTAGATTTTCAAAATTTATTTGACCATAAAATTTGATCAGATTTAGAAAATCTGATTTTTAAATATTTTCAAGTTCCCACCAATTATGGGTTTTGGGGGACATGGCTTCTGCTCCGAGTTAAGTGGTCATGCAATATGCTTCTAGTTCATAGTTACAAGTTATTGTCAGCTCTCTAAGATCTACTTGAAAGTCCAAGCAATTACAAGGTCGGCAAAGACCTGCTTGGAAATATATTATACAGAAACTAAAGGAGCTCAATTTTGATGATTTTTTTGAAGCAAGGCCGGGACAAAAATTAGGAGTTGTAACCCACAAGACAAGAGAAAGAAGGCCCAAATCAAAATATTGATCATTGAAGAATTGAATTTTGATTCTCATTTCCTGTGAGGAAGGGAAAGTTTGAAGAGCTTACATAGTTCATTGTATGAGTCATGGTCATCAAGTCCAATTCTGCATTTGACACTCACAGGAAGATTTGTATTTGCAGCAATTATGCACATGGACGCAGCATAAAACTTTCCTTGTAGAAGTTGTGCACATGTCCTAGCAACCATACAGATAAATAATATATTTGATGTATCAAGCAAGGAAATCTTAACCTACAGATCAAGCATGAGGCGCACACCAAAACACCCATGTCCAGCGACTCTGGGGTTAAGACATCCGCAACTGTTAAATAAAACAGAAAAAGTATCAGTTATGGGTCTAAATAAAAGCTAGAAACTTATATTTTAGATAGGAAAAGCAGAACGAACTTAAAATTAATTTCATCATAGCCATATGGAGTTGCCAGTTGTGTCGCTTTGGCCAAATTCTTCAAATTATTTCCCCCAATTTGCAGCACTATAGGATGCTGCTCAGGGCCATATGCCAAGAATCTATCCTGGTATATTAGAAAAATCACATAAATGTCAGATTTCACTGCACGATAGAAACACATAAGCATTAGCCAGTGACAAGCTGCTCTTAAAGGTCCAAGCTGCAAGCGCAATAACATATCAGTACAAGAAAGTTCCTTTTGAAGATCTACCAGGTTACAATAATATATCATCTAGGTCCCTTCTTTGCCACGTATTTCACAACAAAGAAATAAATATTCCTTTTTTAGGAAACCATCTAACTGGGACAAGGATCTTAGTTTAGGGAAATGAAAATGACCAACCAATTTGGCTAACTCGGCCCTTGAAAGACAACCCAAAGATTCTATAGTAATTGATATAAAAACAGTAGGATTCATTGATTTAGTAAATCAAATACAAGTGTCAGGTGCCATCTATAGAAGTGTTAACTGTAAGCTTCACTTTGTAGAAGGTCAGTTCACATCATTTAGAAAGTAGGCATATAACCACAGAGACATACACCAACTATTTCCTTTTATCATGAAAATTGGGGCTGGCAGCAAGAGGATCAAGATTAAAGAAAGTAACTTTTGACTATTTCACTGTCTCGTGACTTAAAACAAATGGGCAAAATAATAGGATATTTTGATTTATGCACATTAAGTGAAAATTTTAACCGGTACATTTGAGTTAAATTATCGTAGACGAGTTTGAATCCTCTGTAATTGTGAGCCTTTACATACTACATAGCACATATATGTTCATCTCTTTCTCATTTCTTTTTGTTTAGAATATGAAGAAAGGATTAACTCGTACGATTCTCTTCTTTTAGCTTGGCTCTACTCATCAGTGAGAAACAAAAAGGTACTTTATGGTTGGGTAGAGAAGCATTAGAGTCTTATTCCATGCAGCAGAACTTTACCAAATTGCCAGTCTGGTAGACAATTGTTTCGGCAGCAAGCATTTCTGTGTAGAGCCACACCTTTTTCTGAGATAAAACAGGCCAAAGTTCTGTAATGGTTATCGGTCCATTCCATCAAGAGGGCAACACTGTTTAAATACAAAGGCTTACAAATATTAGGGGCTCTTTTTATTATTCTATTAAGTAAAGAAATATTAGGGAGCATATTAACTTTGTAAAGAGAGAAAATTAGACTTCTGTATGCACACACCTGAACCAAGGAGGAGTGTCTTGCTTGAACTTCCCGTAGATTTCTTCTTCCCTCTTAAGTCCAGCGTGGGCTGCTCTTTATGAAACTTTCCACACAGGCATTTTGAAATAGGCATTACACAAGAGGACATGATATTATACAACACAGGCATTTTGAAACATTTACACAAATAGATAATTTACTGAATAAATGAAGACATAAATCCACCTAGTTCAATATAAGCCAAAAGCAATACTTGGATCATTAGATTAAGGATGAACTGCCAGGAACTGGAAAATTGATATACTGGCTCAACTAATTTTTTTTTGAAAAAGGACCAGAACAAACAGAAATTAGGGAATTCAAGAACGAAACAAGAAAAACTAAGAAGCTTAGGGTTTAGGGTTTTACATGGAAGCAGAGAAATGATGCTGCAGCTACTTCTGAGGCGAATCCAGTTTGCAGTTGGAGAAGACAAAACCGTAGCTACAATGGTAATGTTAAATAAGGTTCTAGGCTTGCAAATCTTTCTCCCTCTTTTTTCCTCTCTCGGTTAAAAAACACTAATGGTAATGTTAAATAAGGTTCTACGCTTGCAAATCTATTTTTCAAAGTTAATTCAATTTATTAGTAGGTTAATTTGAAATTGAACAATATATTAGTCTCTCTCTATATATATATATATAACTAGTAAAATTACCCGCACTTTGCGTGGAAATTTAATATCATGAAATTTATAAAATAATACTTAAAACCTATCAGTCATTAAAACTAAAACACTATATTATCTTACATACAAGATTACGTAGTAACAAACATTAATAATGTAAAGAAAAATAAAAATTATTACATCTTATCATTTATCCTTAATAACATAAGTAAAAATTAATGACCGTAAAAATACATACCAGGATCTGCAGGAGCAAAGTGCACAAATATTTAATTGTGAAGAAGAAAAAGAGGTTCAGAATTTTTGTTGTTTTAAAATGAGAGAAAATTCCTCTATTTATAGACAACAAAAGGTAGTGTGAACAAATATTTATTGTGTTTTATCTTAAAGGTTATAACTATTTGGAAAAGTTGCAACCCTTCGGAAAGGTCACAACTCTTCATTAAAATCACAACTTTTCATAAAAGCCGCAACTCTTCATTAAAGTTGTAATTTTTCATAAATTTCACAACTTTTCATGAAAGGAGAAGGCTAGTTTTGTAAATAAATAAATTAAAAGAGAATTCTTATTTGTGATAGCGCCACGTAGGCGGGTCGAAAGTTCTCTGTTATATTTATATATATATATATGATATGATATATGATATATGATATATGATATATAATATATATGTATAATATAATGTATTTATTTAATGATCTATATTATACAACACATTATCAAAATGAGACTATATCATATCAAGCAAATTCTTACAAAACTTTGAAGGTATCTATTTTGTTTTTCTTAACTAATGATAACTTTTTCGAAATGTAAATTTATTGTTTTGGATATATTTGATACTAAAATTCATTTTACTGGGATGATCTTGCAGACACCATCAAAAATAATAATCAGGTATCAAAATACGATAATGTCAAAGCAAACATGTTTCTTTGCCATCATCTTAATTGGGACTTGAAAATGAAATATTTCATTGTTAAAATTTTCTTTATATTGTTAAATAATCTAAAAGATGATATGATCAGAAGAAGATGGTCATTCTTGCATAAGCACTTTTAAACTGGATCTATTTAAAGCTGCATTTTAAAAATCTATTTATAAGTATAGTTTTTCATTGTTTAAATTTATTTCACAGTTGAAATTTATGGTGAGAATATCACTAACAATGATATGCTAGAAAAAAAAAATCTTTACCACACTTCATGCCAGGAATGCGCTTTTGCAATAATATCGAGAGATGTGGTTCAAATAATTTTTTACACTAATTTCATTTTTTTTTGTGGCCAGATAAAATATGATGATTTATAAATAGAGGAAATACATAATTATCCCATGGAACTTATATCTTTTTTTTAAGTAGACACCTTAAGTTTGTGGGGGTCCTATTACCCCACGAAACCATCCAAAAGCACAATAAATAAATCATTTCTTCACCATCAGTGCTCACAATCCAAGAGCGTGTGCCACACCTCCAACCCATTTAACAAGTGCCGGGTTTTATCCTAACCCATTCATTTTTTAACCCATAACCCAAATCCTAAGAAACTTCCAACCCATTTCACTTTCACCTACCCTCGTCTCTCTCTTCGACCGATCAAAACCCTAAGAAACTTCATGAGGCGAAGCTAGTTGGTAACATTGCTGGTTGAAATTTGTTGAATCGTGGTGTCGGAACGAAGAAGTGAAGGCTCATAGATTAGTTATTTGAAAAATCTTTGAATTTTTTATTTATTTTACATTGTAAGTGAATTTTGTAGTGATTCATATATTTTGAAAATGGGTTTTATTGAAAAGTCAGAAATTCGAAGGTTGTTGATGAATTAATGCAGTACTCATCTTGCGAAATTGATTCAAAGTTAGAGAGATATTGCAGTCCTTACTCGCCATGACACTGTAGCAAGCTTCAATGGCTGTCAATGGTGTTTGAATTAATTTTGGGGAAGATGGGTTTTAAAAAAATAAATAAAGAATTCAATTTACAATGCCACATGGCTGCTTTATATTGGTTTGGGGTTGTTTTTTAAAATACTCACGCGCCCCGAAAACGTGAAAACATAGCAGATGCGGAAGCGGATCAAAATGCTATATTTAGTCTGATCGAAAATAGTTTAATGGGGTAATAGGACTTTCGCAAACTTTAAGTGTCTACTTCAAAATAAGGTCCAAGTTCAATGGGGTAATTATGTATTTCCTCTAATAAATATGATAGAAAAAAAAGGACGAAAATTGACCTACTAGTTAATAGTTCTTTTTCTAGAGAAGACAAACTTCCATCTAGAAAACGTTGTGTTCCCAATTGTTATTATGACCTTAATCGTGGTCATTGTCATAAATGAAGGAAGAGAGCTCTAATACACTAATAATATCCTTCACCATCAATAATGGAAAAAGAACGACCACAATATAACTTATGTAATATTATCATATGAAAATATAAACTTATGCGGAAGAGAAAGCCTTGTTTTCAAACCTTGCAAAATAGCTAGTACTAACATACACACATAAAAATAACGATACTAATTCGTCATGTTTCTGGGATTGTATCTAAAAATCCTTCTAGTTTGAATTTACGATCGCGGGACACTAATAAACTAATACAGTGATACAACGTGAGTTGTTCTATCACAGATATACTACTAATTTCAGCATGTTGTATATTGATACAACATGAATTTTAAAAAATAGCATCAATGACACAACACAAATCTTGTTACTAATAATTAGCCA